CACGAAAGCAGTAACTGTTTCTAAATGCATTTCAAACTGCGTTTTTTAATTCCAGTCCCGTCGGAAGTTTACTATGCAGTCAAAACTCCTCGTTGCAGAAAAGTCGCACGCCGGAGTTTGGAACTGCAGTTTTTTTTTTTTTTTTTTTTTTTTAAGGGCCCAGTGCCCAAGGCTTGTATTGATATTTGAGAACATTGAGGCCGGGGTCCTCACAGTCTACCCGGAGTAACCAACATATGATGATGATGATGATGATGATGATGATGATGATGATGGGTGCCGCAATGACGTTTGCCAGGTGAGTGGGTGATTCATGTCGATGGCTGTGGCCAGTCTCTCCTTTGGAGTCCTGTCATCGTCGATATAGCTTTTACCATCAAAGCAGACAATGCACTTGTGAGGATGCTCAACAACTCTTTTTCTCCGCCGAGAACCACACCATCCAATATCCATGTCCTCAAACGAAAAGAACTCCTCCCTGGATGTCACAGTCCTTTCGGGTATGTTTGTCATCAAGTTGTCAGGAGACGCCAGTTGGATTTGTCCAAACTCTGAGGCTAGATTTTTCTTGCAATGATCACACATACTAGTTGGATGTTTACCGGTATGAGGGTTTGGGCGGTTGGGGGTGTTCCCAACCACACTACGGAAGCTCCTACGGAAACTGTCCATCCATTCATAACTCTTTGTCCGAAGGTAAGAATACACCCCCACTGCTGGTTTGAAAGTCCCATCTATCAGTTTTTCTCGAATTGGATTGTACCGGTCGCAGCCATCCGTTCCGTCCAAGTAACGCTCAAACCCGGTCCCATGTTTTGAGTCAAAGACAATGCGGTTATTAGAAGGGGTGCTCCATGCAGCCTTAACTCTGAGGGCGGGATCAAGGGCATCCACCCCCTTGTTGGCCAACACAAAAGGTCGAATCCCTGTCATAAGAAACTGAGCGTTGGGTCCCCGCCATCCATCCAAAGTGTGAAGTAGGACTTCCATGTTGTGGACCACACCCAGCCCCTGGTACTTCCTCACAGTCAGCAAGGGGGGCTTAAAACTATCTACCTCGATCACCTTGCCAACATGGAAATAGGAGGGAACGTGAAGAAAGCGACCAAGCCATTGGACCACTTGGCTTCTTCTTTCATTGATAAGCAGACCAGGAGTGCGAGGGACGATGTCGTGGATGTTCACCACGCGCAAGCACTTAAGCCCTCGTTTGCCGAGAGCCTGAAAAGCATCTCTGAAAGCACGATTACCCACCCTAGGTGCCGCATAAGTAAACACCGTCACAGGTATAACCCGTAGACCTAAATCGGTCTCTGGATGTTCGTCATCAAGCGGTGATGCATCTCCCTCTCTCGCCTGCTCCAACTTCACTGCGACGACATTCAGGCCTGAGTCTACAATGTCATATGCACTCAGAACTGCCAATGCACCTCCCAGACTGTGGCCGACAACTGTGATGGAGTCTATGTCCCTGTACTTGCACAGAAGCTGCCTTATGTTGCGGTGCAGCTGACACCTCGCACTCCCGCGGTTATGCAGTGACAGGTCGCTCAACGTGCTTGTGTACAGCTGGTGAAACCCCTGCGCAACAGAGACTTTCCTGCGCTGTGCACTTTGCTTGGACTCCTTGGAGTGTCCAAAGGCTGCTTTGTCCTTGTGTAGGGGAACCTGGAAGCAGAAGAACCAAAAACAGGCACCAGGAGTAACAGTGAGGCATTCCCAGAACGATTCGTCATCATGCAGTCATCGCTTCTGACCAGATGACTGTCAATTATGCATGTTCAACCAGCCAAAACGCAAGATCTGAGTGAAAACTTACTTACAGCAGTTTTGACTGTTGACATTACATGTATTCATCCACCAGTAACTTTTCACCAGCCATTTTTGTGCAACGTGGCGCATGCACAGCAGCATCTCGCAGGATGTACCGACCTGCCGTTGTGACTCTGAATTCGTCCAGGCAAAGAGGGTCACATGCGCGACCTGTTTGCACGACAGGCCGGGACATCCTACCATATGGGGCACGAGCACAGCTGCATTGTCAAAAAAATGGCTGGAAGAGTACTGGTGGTTTAAAGCACCAGTACATCCGGGCCTCTTTTGTAGGAGGTGGATTCCCCCTGTGCGCCAAGCTTTGCTGAAATGCCAATGCAACAGTTTTGTTTTAGTTTGGGCTGGAGCCGCCAGCCATTTTGGTCCGATTGGCCCAATCCTCCGAAGAGTCCGAACTATTCCATTATGTGCCGGAAACCGGGTTCGGTGTCCCTTACATTTTGCCACGGTCATTTGGGCTGGACGATGGGCTGGACGAGGCACTCCCGGTCAGAAAAACTTGAAAAAAGGCCATTGTGGATGGTTCAACAACAAAAATCTTTTTTTTTTTTTTTTTTTTTGAAAGAATTAGCCCTTGTGTAAACCCTCTATCCTGGCGGTGGTAAGAGAACCCCCAGGATGGAGGATTTCTCTGTCGGGCTGCTCCATCTATTGGTGGGGAGCGACACCTGCTGGAAACCGGGTCCAGCGTCCGATTAATACATCTTAGCAGAATGTATTCCAATCTCAGTCTGTGTAAGGGACGCTGGACCCGTTTTCCAGCAGGTGATGCTCCCCACCAATAGATGGAGCCTTGCCCTAAGTGCTAGTGGTGACTGCTCTTATCAGCACCACTAGCACTGGCGGGTGTGTTTTTAAAAAATAAAAATAAAAAAAAAATAAAAAAGATTGTGTTTGTTATTTTCCTGAGGCTGTGGACTTTTCTCTACTCAGGCCCGGGTCTCCGTCGTCCCATGGGGCTGTCCCCCACCCCCAATGCCCCCCCAGCCACTCACTTCCCCACAGGTCTCCCTGTCCCTGCTTTGCCTTCCCCCCCCCCCCCAACCATTCAGCTCTGCACCCTCCTCCCCTGTCCGGTACCTCAGCGGGAGCCAGATGACGTCCACTTTACTTCAAACGGTATCTCAGAGAGATTCTGAAGACGTACAACTCAGACAAGGCAACAATGTGTCTCCTGGTACAGGGACCGGGAGAAGTACATAGTAGCCCAATGAGCTACAGGGGACAGGGGAAGAGAAAGCTGCTTCTGCGGAAAACAGTGTGGATGGGACAACAGAAGACAGGGCTGAAGTACGCCCTTATGACCCTGATCCATAACTACTCTGGGAGTGTCGGTTCGGTTCTCTCAGAGGGAGCCAGATAACGTCCACTTTTCTTAAAACAGTATCTCAGAGGGATTCTGAAGACGTACACCTCAGACAGGGCAACAATGTGCCTCCTGGTACAGGGGCCGGATGAAGTACATGGTAGCCTGATGAGCTACAGGGGATAGGGGAAGAGAAACCTGCTTCTGCGCAAAACAAGGAGGATGGGACAACAGAAGACAGGGCTGCAGTACACCCTTATGACCCTGATCCATAACCACTCTGAGGAGTGTCGGTTCGGTTCCTACAAGTCAAGAGGGCGAGATAAACCATTCAGGGGAGGAGAACGCGAGTTCCACATGCAGGGTAGCGGAGCAGGCCCCTCCACAAGGTTACAGAACAAGGACGAGTTTTAGAAGGCTTGCATTTCAGGGTTCAAGGACCACAAACGTCATGGGTATGAGGACGAAGAGGGTATAGGGTCTAAGGGATTCAATAATTGGTTAGTCATACTACAGGGGGGGTGCTGAAGTGGGCTGGGCTAATAGACAAAGTGGTGCTCTATGAGGGGAAGGGTGTCACTATCAACAACCAAAATCTAACAAAGGAGGTCTTTGAATGTCTACCTGTACATCTATCCATTCACACGTACTTCCTAAAAATCCCAATTATTCTAAGTCTATCCTGGGACAAGCCCATCCTTGTCCTTTATACATCTCCCCCCCAACCCAGCAAAGTGCCATACAAAAAAAGGAGAGAGAGTCTGAAAAACGCAATCTCGGTGGGAGGTACTGCCATGCCTCCACACTTTTCAGACTGGCTCAATCATGATTCTCAAGTTGGCTGGGGCCATGTAGTGGTGGTTTAAAATTTAAACCAATCCACCTTAAGTGTGTCCCCACCAATAGATGGAGCCCCCCCCTGAGGTGCTAGTGGTGTCTGCTCGTATCAGCACCACTAACACTGCAGGAGGCGTTTGAAAAAAAAAAAAAAAAAAAAAAAAAAGAAAGGGTGTACTCACACTGGCAGTATTCCAAATGTATCTTGACCGCATTTACGGCCATACCTGGATGTATCAGGCTGCAATTCGTAGTGTGAGTATGCCCTAAGATGTGAGCAAACTTTTTTTAAGGACAATGCTCCAATCTATATACGTGGGGAGCCGCATGTGCTGGGAACCGGGCCCAGCATCCTAATTGAAACATGAAACATGTTTGAGAACATATACAGAAAAACTTTGAGATACCTGGGTTTTTACCCGGCTTTGTCTGAGAATAGGATCATGAGTAATTACTAGCCTACCACAATCTTCAGAGAGAAAGGGGCTACCCACAACAAAAAAGACGCCACCACAAAGGTCCTACAAATGTTTAAACTTTAAAACCCTCGGAATCCCTGCAAACCCTTCTAAAACTCTCCAACACTGTCTTACTCCCTGCCGAGCTCTTCCAGGCTTCACACCCCCACCCTGTTGGGTTACAGGGCAACACGACTCGCCCCGGCTCCAACCAGCGTCGTCCCAGCAGCAACTCTTGAGCAAACCTTGACAGTGGCTTTTCAAAAACTACTACTCTCCAGGACCTGTGCTTCTTGCAATGGGACTGACAAGCCCTAGTCATCATACCTTCTTTTTTTTTTTTTTTCCCAAAATGGCTTGGGAAAAATGGAGCACACAGCATTGGGGAGAAGTGAGAAGGGAGGGACAGTTACTGGCAAATGCTCGGTCCTTGTGTTGGCCGGGTCCCCACTGGCGGCCCCAACCCTGCACCCTAAACACTAGGACAAAGGGGCAAACATGTCATTACCTCCCTGCACCGAGAGAGGTAACCTCCCTTCACCTAAGAGAGGTAGAAAGCTATGCTTGCAGGGGTCCCCTGTATAGCCTTAGTAGTAGTGGTAGGTCGTGAAAGGAAAAATAATAAAAATATATGTTCCATGACATGGCAGAATGCCAGTTAAAATATGTGAGGTAAGAGAGAAAATACATATAGCCGTCCACCGATGAGGAGAAGACAAAATGAAAAGAAAAAAAAGAATGCAAGCAGTATTGTTTCTTTTTTTTCCAGAAAACCTCCATTTTTGGAGCCGTACTTTCGGGGCTGGTATGTTGATGTCAATTGAGTTCATGTTACTTGCTGTCAAAGTAGGTCTCTCCTCATCGGGATGGCTCCATCTATTGGTGGGGAGCTTCAATTGCTGGAAACCGGGTCCACTGTCCCTTCTTTTTCTTTTTTTTATTAACAACAACACCAACCTCTTTATATTCTGTGAGGGCACCAGTCCGGTTACTCATCCCCGGCAAGCATGGAATAACAATTGATCTGAAAAAATGAGATCATAGGGGCACAAGGTGAGACTTAGGTGACTATCAAGCCCCGCATCCTCGGAATCGAGAACGAGTGCAACTTTTGCATTCAGCTCTGTGTCAAGTTCCAGAGGTTTCATGACACCCAGTGATTTTATCCTTTGAGATTGCTCAGCTCGCACACACAATTTCCTTCTTCCTCTCTCTCTCTCTCTCTCTCTCTCTCTCTCTCTCTCTCTCTCTCTCTCTCTCTCTCTCTCTCTCTCTCTCTCTCTCTCTCCCCAAAGAGTGGCTGCCTTCAAGGCATTGTAGCAAACGACAAGAAATGCAGGCACAAAAAGAAGTGGCAGGGACCACCTTGGGATTTCATGTGTCAAATTTGGTGAAGTTTAGTCCAGAGAGCCACGAGTCCTTTTCTGGTTATTGCTGATTAGATACAGCCGATGGAGATTTTGCGTTTTCTTTTTTTCGTGAAATTCCCAACCATATAAATGAGTGACTTCAATCACTATCAAGGACAAGGGGAGACAGGGAGGGGTCTAGGATTCCTTGTGGATGGAAGTGAAAGCCTATGGTCTTAACCCGAATGGAACGCCCAGTCATTACGGACTGAAAATTGCCCCTATTACAGCTATAATGACGGCCGACCGTTCTATTCAGGTGAAGATCGTGAGGAGAAAGAGAAGTGCAGCCCTGTACCTACCGGCCATCCTTTGAAATCCTGTGCCCACTCCAAGTCCGCTTGTGTTCCTCTCCAAGCAACCACCAGGTCTCTTCCCTGCTGCCCGAAACCAGGACTCGGGTCACTGATGGCCACATAACCGAACCAATTGGTGTCAACGAGAGTGGCACCGTCTCCAGGCGCGTCTATGAAGAGCGGAGCTCGACGAGGGAAAAGGTAGTTCCATAGGAGTAGTAGAGGCTTAAGAGGTCCATCTGCTCGGGATGTCGCGTACAGATACCGAACATCTTTATATTCCGTACGGTATCTCCATTTTGACGTGCTACTTGACCTCGGGCGAGCCGGAACACTCTGGTTGCTAGGATGCGATTCAGAGTCTGTGATTGTACGGTTGACGGAAGAAGCAGCTTCTCCACCATCATCACCACCATCATCACAGTTGTCACCTATATGTATCAGGCCATCAAGAACGTGCTCCGGAGTTGCACTGAGAAGGTTAAACAGACCCTTGGGTGCCATAGTACACTGGCCACAGTACCGACTTGTACTGTCAAAGGTTGTGGCATCATATGTCAACTGTGCTAGCTCCCCGTACTTGATGAGCATTTCCTTGAGCTGGCCGTAGTGTACATCGACAGTTTTCGGATGGTTGCCAGTTTGCTTATAGATCCAGTCGTCGTTAAGCTCAAGCATACCCTGTTCACTCCAGTCATTGAAGCCCCTGAGCTGCAGCCACGTGTAGGTACTCTTAGGCCTTGAACTCTTAAGGGCATCGTAGGGGTCTTCTTGCCTCATGTGCTGTGGTGGTGGGCGTGGTGTTCGATGTTCACGTGATGATTGCACCTTCTGAAGCTCTCCCTGAAATGGTGTCCGTGGTGTCATGACAACTGGGAAGTCTCTGTCATCTGCTTTAGCATCATCATTATGGCCTTGTCCTTGTGTGTGACAGTCTGGCCTGTCACCAATCTGAATGCCGATGTTTGGCCGCCGGTCTATCATTGTGCTGGATATGTGGACCTTGGGCCCCCCCCCACCGAAGTCCATGCCAAATGTCCATCACAAACACAAACATTTCTAAGTGAATACAACAGAGCTGGTCGCATCGGATTCCTTCAAACAGATTCCTTCAAAAAAAACAAAGTCGCCCGTAAAACCAACAGTATGTCTGCCAACCATTCTTCTCCGATGCGGCATCGGTGCAGCCGCAAATTCAGGTGTCGGCCTACCAGATGGCTTCCGGAACGAGCCAGAAGAAGGGCTGCGTGCGTTTGTTTCTTTTTAGCCCACAAGGTGTTTCCAGGCTCCACAAGGGAAGGCTCAAAAGTGCTGGTGGTTTCAGCAAATCCTAATGGTGAAGGTTCCCCCCCCCCCTCCCCCCCCCTTCTTAAGAACATCTGTTCGACACCCATTGCGGCCTAGTTCAGTTGGTTAGGCACGCATATGGCATTCAGGAGGTTGTGTGTCCGATCCCCACTGACTACCTGTGGCACTCCTGGTGCCAGCCAACTGAGATAGTTGGCTTGCTCCACCCGTTCGGTATTGGTAGGGTCTTTGGCCATCACCGGTATGCGTGTGTGTGTGTGGGTTGTGTGTGGTGTGTGGGAGAGTGCTGGCCATAGACACTGCTGTTACTCGATGGAGGTGGGGAAAGTAGATGGGAGGTGCAGATACTGGCAAAATGCTCGGACTTTGCATTAGCCAGACACTCCCACCGGCGGCCCCACCCTACTCCCTGACCACCGCCGATTAGGGCGGCGGTCCCACCCTACTCCCCTTCATTGTGAGAGGTAGCTATGCTTGCAGGGGTCCCCTGTTTAGTCTTAGGGGTAGTGGTACGTAGGTAGTGAAAGGCGAAATTGAGAGAAAAATATAGCTTAGTTTAAAAAAAAAGGGGGAAAAACATCATGTTTTTTTCCCCCCTTCTTCTTCTTCTTTTTCCCTTTTTTTTCATTGAAGAAACATCAGGTTGCAGGATGGAAACTGCTCAATGTGATAGAAGCATCTCGCAGTAGTTTACCTCCCTGTTTGAAGGCTCCAATCTATTGGTGGGGACGTACACCTGCTGAAACCCCAGGTCCAGCGTCCCTTCAAGTACACGAGTCTGCTGGAGACCAGATCCAGCGTTATGCAACTCCCGCTGTACCCCATCTAAAGGTGTTTTACGAGACAGATCACACTCTTTCCAAAGATCTCTATCCCTGTGACACCTCGGCCCCCGCTCTCCTAGCCCTCTTCACTTCCCCGTCACCCTTCTAGCCATTTTGAACTCCATACCAGACAAGCAAAAGATCAGGGTTACGGGTGACACTGTTTGAGGTGGAGAGAGGGTTGGTAGGTAGATGGGGAGATGAGGGGTGGGGGGCGTCTGTCCAGGGATGGTTTCACGGTGCTGTAAAGGTCAGGTCTGGGAGGCTAAAGCTGCAGGGGGTACGAAAATGAAGTTCGGCATTTGAAAATGTGGAATTGACTAAGGGAAAGGTCTTGCCACTGTGCTGCAGTCAGTTGCCATCTTTTCCACACAACGTTGTTTTCGCTGTCAAGTTCACAGATCGCTCTATTGGGATTAATCCAGATCAATTGAAATAATTAGGTCATGATGCCTTTATTCTGGCCCCTTCTCATCCTGCACCTGTTTTTCCATGTCCCTCCAGGCCTGAAGAGTGTATCCTCTTACTGTCTCCAAGCTTCTTCTTGGCACTGTACAGAAAGAAGTGCTGCTGATTCCTTTCGTGCGCATATTATCACTAGTAACGAGAGCCGCAAATAACCAAACAGGTTGTGTGTGAAGGCTCCCCATTGTTTGGAGGATCGTGTGGGGTCCCTGATAGAATAAGATGGGGAAGGGGAGCAGGAGATATTTAAGCGAGACTACCAGATTACCTTCTACAATTGGTTTGATATCCCGCCAGGAGCTTCTTTGAGATCACCTGAGTTCTTCTCGGACCCTTTTCCTCCCTCTGCACTAGCTCTAGTGGATCTAGGATGGTTTGGGGGGGAAGAGGGAGGATAGGTGGTTCTATTAGATAGGTAAGAGTTTATGGAGATAGATGCTAGGTTAATCACTCTTTTCTGGCAGTCATTTTGTACGACTGAAGAGGCATCTGGATTTCTATGACTAGATCAGCTTTTTACTTGGATATGATTTTGGATATGAGGTTTTTGGATTGATACTTGTCGATACTATGTTCATTCAAAGATATATGTAAGGGACGCTGGACCCGTTTTCCAGCAGGTGCTGCTCCCCACCAATAGATCGGAGCTTTTGTTAAAAAAAAAGAGGTGAGTGCGAGAAGTAGATGGTGA